TTTTAGTTGTTTACATCACTAACATGAAAATCACGCGGTAAGCCGGTCTCATGACTATTTTAGCCAATAAGTCAGTCTTCCAATGGTTGTGGTCCAGTTCAAAATCTTCTGACAGAGACTTATGACGCTAACTCATACGGTGGTTCGCGCTGGCTGATATATGACAGTCTTCTCTCGACTTACACAGAGCTTCCCGGCTGGAATCCAGTATAGGAAAACGTATGTGGCACTGAGAGATATCGCAACGTAACAACGGTAGCTTCTTTACAGATGAGAAAAGCGGATAGGATGCTGACGACCGGAATAAGTTCGAAGAAACAGGCCAAAATAAGTACAAACTTACAGGTGGTCCACATAAGCTAATCCGAAATACTTCTTGTCGGCATCTTTCAAGGCTACATGACTGGCAATAATATTTAACAATTCATGAACAAATAATCGTGGTTGAATAGTAAGCTCCAGTTGTTGTCCATCCAGTAAATATATTATGGATCGCTTACCATCATGCATCTGCAATAAACTCGCTTTAGCACCCTAAGGGTAGCAGCATTGATCATTTGTCTCTCTTTACATAATTAACACAGATTAATCTGTCCATCGATCGGATTTCAAGGTCCGTAATAGCAAGACACTGAAGTAATACATGATCAAATCGTCTGTTGGTCTGCTTTATTCTCCAAAATATACCGTAAAGATATTTGCACCCACTACAAAATAAAGGGATTCCCAGTACAGTTCAGGAAGGTTTCCACATATCCTATCATTCATCGCCCAACAAACGATCTTTCTCAACACAGCAATTGAGATAGCAAATGACAGCTGCCAACATTGCTTTATTTGTCTATTGGTCAAGGAAATGACAAGATGGACAGAGTAGATCAAACCGAAGTACAACGTGCAAAGAGAGGAGATCGATACTTCCCTTCACACCATGACACAATAAAGAGTAGTCTGAAAATGTTATGAAGGAGGGAGAAAGAGAGAGAGGAATAGAAATGGAGACAAATGCTGTGGTCGGTGACGACTATTGTGGCATTGACCTTTGTCCACTGTCCCCTTTTCTGTTATTTCCTTCCTCTCCCCACCTTCTCCCGTACTTTTTTCTTTGGAAATCCTTCCTTGAGGACTTTCTGGCCTTAATACTGCTAATGACACACACACACACACACACACAGACTTTTTTGTTGATGCAGCAGAAATGAACTGAAATTAAATTTTAAGTGGTAGCATTGTAAATTACGGTCTAGGAAATTATAATAAACGGTCAATTTTACCTGTAAAGACTCGTACTTTGAACTTTATAAAATCAGCCGGATTCTACCGGACTGAAACGTAACGATCAGGAGGAAAAAGAGAAGATTCTTAAATGAAGGAAAAAGAAGCAAATGAGATGGATCAAGATACCTTCTATTCGTAATTCGTCACAGCTCACTATTTGCTACTAGCCCTTTTAAGCATCGCTTTTTGAGAAATAGCTAGAGTAGAATCTTTTTCTTCACGACTACATTTGCCAAATCTCAAATAGAACACACAAAAAAAAAAAATGGGTACTCAATTTTGCATTTAAAATCAAAGTTTTCTTTTACGTGTTAGATTAATTGCAGATTTGAGTAGTTTTCATATTATTGTAAATAGAGGATTTGATTTGCGAGTAAAAATGGATGAAGGAAAAATTATGCCGAAAACTGGACTGAAAAACTAATGGTGACATTGAAGGACCTCCCAAAATCGGTTCCTCTTGAATGGATGAAACAAAAAACGCCCGAGTAATGAATTTTTATCGTCTATTTTTAAAACAGAGAGAGAATAAGGAGAAAATGTATAATATATGAATACAATATGTAATTATATAATGGACATTTCCGTAAGGCTCATTACAATTTCCAAGAGTTCTTTATCTTTATTATTTCTTCACTTGGATTAATTAGATTAAAAAAAAAAAAAAAAACAGAGAACTTACCGAAAGTCTCTGAAATCGGCCCATGAACAACCGGTGTACAATAATTCGTACAAAAAGTTGTAAACCGTTTCTGTGTGAGCAGTGAAAGGAGTAGTGTGATACGTTGGAGGTGAAAATCAGTTTCGGGTAATTGATTTCAAGAGGTTGCTGGTGTAGAAATGGCAAGACGAGGTGAAGGAAACGGAAGGTGGAAGGGAGAGATGGAAGAGGTGAGGTTGTCCATACACGATAGCTGGTTACAACTACATGTCTACTCCTCACCAAAATGACAAACTGTCGATGAGACACGAATGAAATATTATAATTCAGCGGATGGAACTGTCATTTTCTTCTCTTAAAATCATCTTCTTGTTGTGCAGCGGCTAGTCGGTAGTAAATCTCGATATAACCAAACGAAATCATCTGTGCATCTGTTACGGTTAGATAGTCACTGCAATAGGTCATTTCCTTTTCTTGGGAAGTACTACCTACTACTGCAGGGAATCAAACTTAATGTTTTGTAGGTGAATGAAAAGAATAGTACGAATCTTATTTTACTATAAACAGAAATATTTGAACTCGCTAAAAAACTGGATTGTTGAGCAGTACATCGCTTTCGGAATTTGTTTCCAGAGATGCAGTAGTACGGTAAAAAACTCAGTTTGCATTTGCACTCGGTTGACTTCATTTTAGACATTTGGCTCATAATAAGTTCATTGTTTGAATGAAATCCACTAAAAATCACTGTTGAATACGGCTCCCTTTGCAGTGCAGTTATAATTTCTTTTTCTTTTAATTTTTAATCTTAATGGGAAGAACTTCTATGTACAGGAAGACGATAAGAGGAAAACTATTTACGTATGACTAGGAAATGAGAGGAGTTTGAGGTACAGAATACGACTGGGCTGCAAGGGCTGTGGAATTAATTGGACATAAGAAACAACAGTGTTGCTGGTCTTAAAAACGGAATTTTATTTTGTTAGCATTCTGAATTCACTGCGTCCTTCTGATTCTGTCATAAATAAGAAAAAAGACTTAGCAACAACATTTTGCTTCATTCGGGTTGAAAATTTGCGAAACCATTTATTTTAAATCCCTTCCCTGCTATTCAAAAAAGTGTGACAGTATTTGGAAACTGCTTTAAATCCATTACAAAACTTTAAAATTTATTCACATTGTTCTCTCATGACGTGAATGATAGATTAATAGCGGTAATGAACAAAGCAGAAATCTAGAATTAACTTTTTATATTTGTGATGGTGGTAAATGGGATCTGATACACTGCTTTAAACTCGTGAGTGGTTTTTTCTTGTGGTGGTAGACAATTGTTGCCAGTGCGACAGATGACACTGGCAACAATTGTTCACTGACAGACTTGAAGAATTTGAACAATATTTTTGGATTATCTTTATTAGAGTCACAATCAGAAGAGAAATAATAGTGGTAGTAATCCAATTGCAGAGATGATGAAAATGCAAATGACAAAATGCTGTGATTTGAGAGCTAAGGCCATGACCATTTATAGATTTCGAAGCTTTTCCAAGCTTTTGTGAATGTCCTATTCTCAAGCACTTACACATAAACTAGCTCCGTAAAAGTTTCCTCCGAAATGGATGACACATCCCATTTACCATATAGAAAAGCTCTAACTGGAAAAACCGAAAACTTCACAGGCACAAATATTCATTATAAAGGTAACGGGATTCATTTTTGACTTCTCAGACAAATATGCATCTTTTTCAACTTGCGCTTTTTCCATCTCTGCCACCGTAACTTTGAAAAGATGGTGCAGCTGAAGGTTATTCTTTGTTGGTACTTTCATGTCGGTAGCTTAAGACCTAAAGTAGGAATGGCAGTGATGATTGGATTAAATTTTCAGACAGAAGAGAAATTTCGAAAATATTGAACTGTCTGTTAGGCTATCATATAGGTCAAAAATTGAGCTGCCATATCAGTCAAAGGAACAGTCAAGCGAAGCGTTAACGGGGAAGGTCAGCAAAATATTCACAATAAATATGAATTAATAAAGTTATTCCAATAATATGATAATATAATGCCATGTAATTCCTATCAGGGACAAGTGATAACAGTATGTAGACTGCAAGTGTGTATTTCAGGGAATCTTAAGAGTCGTTTCATTAAAAGAGTCCCTTACGAGTCATTTTTTTTCCAGAATTTTTCGAAATCAATATTTTTTCTACATCAAAACTCTCTTTATAATATCAACGGATGCTAGGAATGGTTATTTCAAATCACCTCCCCATGTAAACTGATCTTCATTTCAGAATTTGACACATACCACAACGTTGTCGGAAAATGTTGTACGTTTTTTTAGCATATTTAGTGGACAGTTTACTTTTTCAAGTTGGCATGAAGTGATTCCATGTGAATGGTTTTCGACTTCACTTACTCACTGTTTCACTTCCACAGATCCCGGCTTTCAGAACAACCACATAGAGGACAATTGTCACCCTGTCTGGTTCATCTATCTCAAGACACTGCCACATTATTAAAGAGTTGAATTACTCGGCAGTTTCTCGAAATCACTGACTGAGGTCGCTCTACAACTAACTTCTTCGTAAACGTAGCTGTTCACTTACTTTCATACCGCCCTCTACCTATGCGTAGGTGGTCGTATGCATGCTAGCAATTTCCATTATACAACTTTGAGGGATCTAGTTTCAGGTTTATTTGTTCACCGATAAATGAAATGAAAGACGAAAATGTATAAAAAAAGAATGGGAAAAAGGATAAGAATTTAGCCTTTTGTTCAAATCTTTATCGATATGATCTACCTTTTAATCTGGGAGAATAACACCCTACTCACTTTGTATTCCAGCCTGCCTGCAAGTAAATGCATTTTGACAATTGCTTGATGTTAACCAGCATGCACAGTGATCCTCACTAGATGACTACTTACCCCATCGCAAACGTGCATTATTGTCCGAAAGTAGGTGCAAGAGGGCAAGCAGATTTGTTTGGAGGCTTCTATGGGCAGTGAAGTGGTAAGGGATGTTGACGAGCCACGAGTGCAGCACATGTGACCAGTACCATCCTCCCCTCAGGCAGCTCTCCCCATGTCACACGTACACACGGAACTAGCACACTGCTCCACATGCAAACAGTAAAGTCTGCCTGGCCTGGTGAATATCCATCCATCCGGACGTGCCAGTGGCTCACTCAATTCTCCCGCCAAAAAGGATAGGGTTGCGCTCCAGCGGAGCTCGCCGTGACGGTTTAGGCGGGACCCTGCATGAAGTCTTCGAACTTGCCTCTCCCTCTTCCGCTCCTCCATTAGCAGCCCTACCCTCACTATGCCCACCCACCACTCTCCGGCCCTGTTGAACTCCTGTATTGGCGGGGAACTCCCCTTATACAACATCCTTACTGACATTACTCCACTCCTCATGCTTTATTGACGCTGGATTCATCAGTTTAATCATTTCTTCTTTCTCACTGCGAGAACCGATGTCAAACTGAGCCATTTTCCTTTTCCGGAATGGAACGATGAGGCAATTTTTTATTCCTATGATTACACGACCTATCCATAGACAAGTGTTGTTGAGCCTATCTTTGACCTCGAATATCGACTTCCGCTAATCTTCCATGAGATATACTATAATGACTGTACTGCCACTTGTATCCCTGTCACATGAAGTAGGACAAGTGAGATTGATTTTCACTGGTACCTTTGCAGTATGTAGTTACCATGTTGATCGATCTCCATTGTTCGTGTTCGTTTTACCCTTAATAACCGATGACTGGTGCAACTTCCCAACCCTGAACACTAGTTACCAGTCTACTAATATTCCACTGCTATTATTATACTGCCAGAACTAAACGTCTAACAAGTAGCTGGTATTCTTCTTTTGGATGTCCTCGCAGTACTTTGCTCACCAATTTATGATTATCGTTTTAGGTGTCTATATTAGATTAGAGATGAAATCTGATAGCAAAGGCAATTAGTTCCACATGTATATATCTCAATTGTGGAAGTTTCATCTAAGTCGACAGTGTCACGTGCTGCTGACGGGCAAAAAATGGGAGCCACTTGCTACTGAGAGCATATTGCTGATTTTATTGGTTTATTGGTTCAGATCCTGAATTTCCCACAGTGTATGTGACATGTCGTTGCTGTATCCAAGAAAATCTAATTCATTTGGTGTTGGTTCACTGGAGTTAGTTAGTAGTTACAGGATGCAAGATATGCGCATTAGTATATATATATATATATATGTTCAAGAAACTTTAGTCATGCGCCGTTTCGAACGAATTATTGGGTATGTGGTAACGCTGACAGCAGAGCAATGGATTTATGCAATTCACACATAGATAATTGAAACATTTCTTTTTTTGTCAGTCTTCATGAAGTTTCTTAAACCTTCGGTACTTTCTTTTGTTTGAAATATTTGAAGATGAAAACATTCTCTTCTGTGTCCAAGTTCCTGTGAAATCCTATTAAACTTCTGGCATTATTCTGGCCCATTAAACTATCGAATCAATGAACAATGTCAAAAATCTTGAAATTAATTCGAGAAAGTAGTGGCATCAGCCACGTGAGCAGCAGGCCTTCTCGACTGTCTCGCAAGTGCAGCATTAGCACAATGGTACCCGGAGGTACGACAGGTTCCGTTTGTACAACCACTTCACTACTGTCCGTGGAGTTGGGTGCACGAGTGTTGCACAATGGTTCAGTCAGAGTGTCAAGTCGTTTGGTGCTTTAAGTATTGGAAGTGTTTGCAGTTTCGTTAGTTCGCTCATTCTCTTTTTCTGGGTTGGGATTTTTCCTCTTCTGGAGTTTTTTGGTTTTGTCTGGAATTCCCAGTTTTTATTTCGAGTGATTAGAGAACTGAAAGGAAAAAGTAGTGCTTCATTTGAAGTGGTTTTGAATTATAGTTGTGAAGAACCGGGTTCGGTTGAAGTTCATGGGACATCTTACAATCGTTAATCTTTTATCACTACTTTCGTGAAAGTGGTCGGGAACTGTTTAACATGACGGGTGATGAGTTACAAGAACAAGAGACCTTGCGAAATAATTATTTGTATCTTTTTAGGTTTATTGTTCTTGGTTCTTTCTTCCTTTTCAGATGGATTTGGAACTTGGTAACGTTATCAGTGAGCTGTAGATAATCGGCCTGAGACTTCAACATGCTCAATAGCCCACGGGTTTCTTACTGTGTATCTTTTTTTTTCACTTTTGATTTTATAAATTTAACTCATCAGAGTCGTATTATGTACCTTCCAGTCATTCACTATCCATACTTATGCTGAATGTCTGCAGTAGGAAAGATATAGAAGTGTTATCTCCCTATTTGTCTATCGGTATGGGTATTTCATATGCATATTTCTTTAAATAATGTGCTTATTTATTTATGCCGTTTTTCTTTGTAATCTACTCAATGCTTTAGGTTTTGAAAAACGAAAGTTTTTTTTTTTCTCCTTGGAGCATGTTATTAAATAGCAAAATGTGATCTGATCAGACATGACAACGTCTTTATCAGAAGTTAATTGATGGTGAAAAATTCTGGTGGTATTAACTAAATTGCATGAAAAATGAAATTTCCAAGTTTATGTTGGATTTTTAATCATTTCAGCTTAATTTCATATATACTTTTATGCCAATTTTCAATTTGTTCGGTGTTGGGTACTGCCGGAATATCTGTCGCCGTCTGCTTTACAAGTCATTGTTTAAGCTGAATAATAGAGTGAACAGTGTTGATTGTCTAGTTGACACGTAAGTTTGTGTCAGTTTGAAAGATACATTAAAAACATATATAATACGGTCAATACATAAATATATTTTTATGATGAGATGCTTAAGGTCCTTTTCTGATCATATTTTTGTATGAATTTGATGGAAAAGCGTGGATCGACTTGTCAAGTAAAATTAAATTAAAGATTGGACAAATTGGCACATTTTCAGTAGTTGTATTTCAGTTGTGGAAGTGGTTTCAGCCTAAAAACGGCATCCGTTATTGGTTTATTATTTGGAAGTTTTCATTTGTCTTTGATGCGTTTTTTGGATGAACAGCATAAGTAATCATTTAATTTGCGATATATTTAGTTTATATTTTACATTTAATTTGCGATATTGAGGTACGGATGAAAAAGTATTATCCACTGTAGCTTTATTTTAGTCGTGGAAGTCACTTCACGCTGAAACAATTAATTGACCTATTCTTGCTTTTGAAGATGTTTTTAGTGCTGATGTAATATGCAATGGGAGAACCAATTTAGTGAGAACCTATCAACACCCCAAACTCGTCAAACAGTTTTCAGAAGTGCCAGAAAATCACAAAGAGAGTTATGTAGCACGAGTTTTGAAAAAAAGTTACTTTTTTGAAAATTTATTGTATGTCTATTGTATATTATTTTCATATTACATTTAGATAAGCTGCTTTTCGATGATGTTTACAGACACGTATTTTCTTTTCATACGTATTTTATTTTTTCAAATTACATATTGAAGTTGCAGTCATGTAAAAATCAAATAATTGCAAACGTTTTCAGCAGTGGAACGGTCACTGTTATTGTTGATATTGAGTGCTACAGCAAAAGTAAAACTTGCTTTGACCCATTATAATAGTGCTTATCATTTATCAAACGAAGCAGACCACACTACGAGGCGTACTGTAAGTTTGTAATTTTGAAAGTATATTTTTCCGCTGTTAGGAGGGCTGCTGTCTTTCATTAGATGGAGTGTTTTTAGATATAAAGGATGTCATTACTATTAAGAAATGGTCTGCAGGATTTTGTTGATGAGCAAAGAGAAGAGAAGAGAAATATTACCTTAGATAATCTGGTAAAAAATGCCGATGCACGAAAAGAATTGAATAAGATAATCAGAGTGAGTCAGTTTTTAAATTTTACAATTGTTGGTTGCGGAGATCTGTTATCGAACTGGAGAAGACTTTCGTATGTATTTGTAACAGATTAGGTTAGCAGGGAAAGAATCATTTGCGAATTCAGCAAAGAAATTAAAACAGAGCAATACAAATTATTAGAACGTTTTAGCATATGCCAAACACTGACTTAAAATTTCTGCAAATCATAATATAGGGTGAATATAACAAGTGCCTCTTAAATTATTTCAATGCTTGGTAAATGTTTTCATTACAGTTTTTAGTAGGACACCATCACTTTCAATTTTGGTTCTAGAGCAAGGGTAAGAAGACCGGAAATTTAGGATTGGAACTTTTGGAGAGTTACGAAGTAATAAAGACTAATAAAGGTATAATATTAGTAGAAATTCCGCTCTTCATCTTTCTGTCTCTTCTGTTTTCATTTATAATAGTTTGTTCCATAATTCTTTATTTTTCAGATAGCTAATATTGGACGTGGAGAAAAAGAAATTGAAGATCATCCATTATTTACTGTTGCGGAATCGACAGCATATTATTTGATGAGGCAAATGGATTATGTTGAAGCTTAAAACCAAAGTTTTTTATTTTTTTTGTAGAAAGGAGAAAGTGTTTCATTACCAGATACCGTTTCTTTTTATTTCGGTGTGTCTTGATTCATTACTCTGTTGAATGTGTCAAAGATCCCTGGATTATTTTGTTTCATATTTCATTCGTTCATTTGTTAAATGATGCATGAGTTTTCATTAGTTTGTAAAGCGTGATTAAATTTCAAAAAAAAAGTGTAGTGCACCTTTTTTCCACAGATCGTTAAAGACGTTTAGCAACAATTTTTTGTGCCAAATAATTGAGTCGGTCATTTTTCATAACAGTGATGTTTGTTTTATAAAAATGAGAAGCACACAGTGGAGCTCTTACACTCTTCTTCATGGGAGTGTCAATAATTCAAAACTAAGTGGGTTAAAAGTGGAAATGGTAGGAAGTTTTATGCTTCATCAAGAATTGTGGATAATAGTTTGTAGTATGGATGATCTTATGTTACTGAAAGAGATTCACGTGTCTGGAGCAATCGTCGTGTAGTGCAATAGCATTGGTTCAGCTTCGTAATGCATTTTCTCTGGTAGTTACTTTATTTTAACGAAAATGTCATTCTGTATTTAATGTGTTTTACGAAATTTCGTTTGTTAATCCACGAAGACTTTAAAAGATTTATGGTAATCAATTGACGATTGTATTTAATTTTAATGCAATCATACATTACTTCCTAATTTGTCTTCTAAATGCTTGACATAATGGAATAATTTGTAATAGTGATGCTGTTACCACAGTCCAGTAGCAACAACAGCACTACTCAACCATAGCTGAACAACTTTTTATGACCTTGCTCTTTTAAGTTTTCAACTTGAATTAAAGGGTAACAGTTTGTGTTCGGCAAATATCGAAGTTGTTTGTAGAAGATATGTTTAGGAGGTTCTGCGAGACGGTATGTCAAGACTAAAGTAATCGTTTCAAGAGTTTTCCAATTTGTTTTCTCATTATTGTTAAAATATCATCATTTAGTATATATTTGCATGTGTTCTTATGCTGATTAAATGGATTACGAAGTTTCTAAGTCAACAGAACGAATTCCATTGTTTTTGTATCGAATGCTAAAGAACCGATTGAATTTAAATTTGAGTGGTCTTGTTAATTACATCGGTTTTGTGGTCGCACTTTTATGTGGCTTCATTTTTGGGAAGTAAGTGTTTCCATCATTTGTAATTTTTATTGAATCTCGTGTTGGTGATGGGAGGATTAGCTATTTCAGGTATATGCAGGAGTTGCATGAGACGAAACTCTGGTTTTCGCATATCCGGCAAGTTGAACAAGAGATATCATTGAGGACAGAAGCTGGTCTTTATTATTCCTATTATAAGTTTGCCGTTCATCCAGAGATAACATTTAATAGCATAATTTATGCGCTGGTGCATGATAACAGGTAAGTATATTAATTCATTAGTTGTGTGCTAGATCTGCAAAGGCGTTCTAATAGGTTAGGAAACAGTGAATACTAAAACAGTTTCAAGACATCTGGTGAATTGCTGATTACTTAATTTCAGCACTGAATTCCCTCGTCAAATTAACGTATTCAAGCGATTCAACATTTATCAAGAGTTGATTCTCGCTGTTTTATATAAATTCTTTGCATCTTTCCGATTGTTTCGAGACTACTGTTTGCCGAAACCAATCCTATTTTATGTCTATTCATGCTTTACCTTTGCCGGATTTGGTGTGACAACATTATTTCTTCTTGCTTGGGCTGTAACAGGAAGGCATATCATTTTGTTTCATTTACTTTAATGATTTCGTTTTTTTTTTTTTTTTTTTTTTTTTCTGGAGATTTCGAAAACATCCAACCAATTCAACTGAAAACTTTTTAGCTGGCTATATGGATTGCTTGTTTTCACATGGATGCTTACAAACATCGATGATAGCACTCGAGTTTTCTTCACTGTTAATTTGCGAGAAAATTTTGCATTGCCATTTTTTTGGTTGCAAAATGCCTGCGTTGTTATCATGCTGCGACTCTCTGATGTTGCTTGCAAGAAATATTACTTCATCTTTTTCTTGTCCACCTTCTTATTTGCTCTATTTTGGCAATTTACTCAGGTAGAAAAGTTTTCTCTTTCGTATTTATTTACATGCCGAGACCGGTTCCTGGCGTTAATCTTGATGTTAATGCCGAAATATGGAAGGTAGTTTCTAGGACTAATGCAAGGTTGAGAGGATATGATAATGGGGACCTTCGTGATATATTATAAAAGCTCAATAAAATCATTAAGAGAAGAAATTGCAATTGAAGGAAGAGATTAAGTAATGAATGATGTTTGAAAGCTCTACTGCTTGATTAGATGCTGAGGTGAGGTGAGACTTCTTCATTACAATTCTTATTGTTGGCTGTATGCTTCTCCACCACTACATTATAATTAAGTAAGCATCTTAAATTTTCAAGAGAATATTTTTTTGGTACCGACAATATCACAACAATTACAGTTCATCTTAGTGCTGCAGTCGATATCTATGGTTGCAATGAGTCTGATTATACCTCGTCTGTCATCCACCATTATTTCATTTCTCTTGCTCCAATCACAAGCATTTTTCCTGGTTATATTAGCGCAATTTGGCCAGCCAATGAATATTGCTTCCATTTGCACAACCTTTAATTTAAGCTCCATTGTTATCCTTCATTTAACAACCAACATGAAAAGGTTTGTTGTACGTTATCATCCTTTTGTTGGCAGAGAGAATGGTACTGAAAACAGTCATGTATTTTAACATGCTTATTTTCAATATGTTTGTAGTATGTACTTGTTACTTGTGTAAGTTTTGTTTCATTTTATGACAAAATTACAGCAATCGAGTGAGTATAATATTTCTGAAGTCAGTTTATATCGTTGTATTAACACTGTTGTTAAGCTGGTTGATTCGTTATCTTGTGGGTGCTGAATCTGACACCCATATATGGACTTTTGTAAAAGCTAAAATTGGTTTAATTTCCAGGTAGTTACATTCTTTGGTATTTGATAAGTATTTCTGTTTGCTTTATTCCCTGCTTACGATAAATTCGTTTTTGATAAAGACAAGTAAACAAAACATAATTATATAGGAAGAATTTGATATAAAAGAGGCCGAGAAATGATAACAAAGTTGCCAATTCGAATACTTTGATAATATTGCATAAGTGCAAAAAATATTGCAATATTAGTAATTACATAAATCTCTTCATGCAGTATCATTTATTCTGGTTTTAACACTTAACAGTTATTTTGCTTTCCATTAATTTTAAGTTGAATGGAAGGGGAAGAAAGAACGTTCAATTTAGGAATCACATGAAATATAAAGATAGTAGTCTTAGAAATGCAAAAACACGCGGACTTTTATTTTTTTGTCCAGTACTGCTTGTTTTGAACATTTACCCTTATTTAGGTCCTCAGTACCCTTCGAAACTGCCTTATATTTGTGTCACGGAGCTTTCGCTTATTTGGATGGTGACTTTTTTCGACGAACATCGCTGAATGGTTGTTTTCCGTTGTTCATAGCGGCAATACTGATTGTTACCCTAACGACGATATATTCACTTACTCTGCAGTGCTGCGATCAAGAATCTGGTACTGTCTTTATTGGTTTAAATAGGATGTTGTTTTATTGTTGCTGTGATTTGCATATATTCTTGCAGCGCCTGCATTTATTGATCATTTTACACCGGAAACAATTTTTATCGTTATTCAGTCAATGTTATGTGGAATAGTTGCTGTTTTTACTCTCCGAATGAAGTACCTTTGGTTCCCACAAATTGCCCTTGTTGCCTGCATATTACCTGTGATGTAAGTAAATCTTCATTCTGGTCCATTTATTTACAATGTCATTGTGCGTGCTCTGTACGGTAAGTGTTGCTAAGGGCTGTATTTTGCACAGCTATGAAATGCGTAATGAATTGCAGTTGTTTAAAGAAATATTAGAATTTCGAAAATGTGAAATAATAGAAAAAGTAGCGTGAAAACAATAAATGCGAATACTTGAACAGTTATTTTACTAGGTGATGAAAATATAGAATGAGGTCTGTACTTCTTTAGGATTTCGAAATACTCGGGACGATTTATTGTTGAGATGGTAATAACAGCTACAATCACAACTCTGTTGTGCAGTCATTATGGTGTTTATAAGGAACAGTTGGCAAATGAACAGGTATAGATCACGAGTTTGTTTATGCATATTTCTTGCAACCATTCTCATTTTATCTTTGTTTCCGAACTATTTGCATTGAGAACTGAGCTGAGGGCTACGACCAAAAGTACTAATTCAGGAATTTTATGATCCCGACACTGTCGCGTTAATGGAATGGATCAAAAGGTCAACGCAACCTTTAACTTCATGGTCAGGAAGTATGCAATTGATGGCTGGAGTGAAAGCTTGCACGGGAAGATATTTGGCTAATCATCCACATTTTGAAGATAAGTGGTTGCGTGATCGGACATTACAACTTTACCAGGTTAAGTATTGTAACAAATCTCATGTAAAGTTTTGGATGATATTGCTGTTATCTCGACAAATTGAATAATATAGAAAAATAGTCATGGATGATAAGCAAATTGATTTCTTATTAGGTCTTAATTTTTGAATAGCCAAAGAACAGCTGATTCACCAGACATCTTTGCTTTAAATCTTTTCTCAGATGTATGGTCGAAAAACACTCACCGAAATGCATAAAATTTTGACAGCTCATAAAGTAGATTATATCATATTGGAAGACAGTATATGTCTGGCTCCCTCAACAGGATGCTCAACAAAAGATCTGGTGGATGCTGCTAATGGTGATACGCCAGAATACGTCATGCAAAATGGTGAAGCTTGTGTAATTATGGATATGAATTACGAAAAAATTGTTATACCATTTTGTAGGCTTGAGTGTATTTTCCAATAATCTACGCAAACTTGAATGGAGAAAAAAAAATCCTGAGAGACTATTTAGTCCGTAAATCTAACATAGAATGGAAGTAAGCGCATTTTACTATGTAGTTCCTAAAATCAAAAGGAAACTTATAAGAGAGTCAGTTGGATGACTCACAAATTTGGCGTTTTCTAACTATCCAATATTATATTGCAGAAATAGATCCAGAGAAATCATCGCTTAATTTGCGGTTCTGTGATCGAATACGTTATGCTGATAATGAAACAAAACATTATTTTAAATTAGTATTTGAAAACTCCACTTTTCGTGTCTATGAAGTACTCAATGGCACCTAACTTTTAATCTCTTGTATATCTTATATTTGATGACCCATATTATGATGAAAATTTTTTAGTAAGTTTGTAAATGTAGATTAAAGGATATTTTCTCAGATGTATATAATGAGGTTTAGGCTACTTTTACCTATGCAGTGAAAACATGAACATCTCTGGGGTTGCAAATGAAAGTTTGGATGCTTTGTTCAGAATTTCCAGAAGAGGGAAGCATGATTTATAATTGCAAGAGACTTCATTTAAACAGATTATCAGGAAATGCATTGAAGTCGAGACAGTATGGACTTCTTTGTCATTGTGTGTTGGAAGAGTTGTTAAATATAAGTTGAATTTCAAGAATCCATTCTATTCAGTTCTGTGTGAAAATTACATGATAGTTGTTTGTGAAAAAGGATCAACTACGAAATATAAATAGAGAATTTTAATGACTATTCACTTTCGTGTAAACAGTTGCTATTTGCAAAAATAATGAAACCAAACAATCAGATGAAAATTGTTTTCTCGTATTTAATATTATCTGATTTCTCAAACTACCGTTAATCCTCCTACAAATTGATACTGAATAGTGCAGTTCGACTACACTTGGTTGCTTGCGCATTTCAGTGGCTATTGTGAACTACATGGTTTTCGGATTAGGGGATATGACGATTCTGTTTTTTACTGCGAAATGCGTGAAGGTTATGATTAATAATTAATTGGCTCCTTACATTAACAAATTTATTTGTCGCTGTGTGTTATGAAATATAAGTTGCATTTCAAGAATTCTTTTTATTCAGTTCCGTGTGAAAATTACATGGGAATAGTTGTTCCAGGGTCGGTTGCCTGAGACAGGAATGGGAGTGTTAGCCGCGTCCAAAACTTTCTTATCAGCGATTGGTCGCATATACTAAGCAATTCTGATAACTTACATTTTGGATTGTTCAACCTGGATTCATTAAAATGTGCAAGGAAGTCATTACTGTAAATCGAGCTATGTAGCAATGTACTTTTTCAAAAACCATAGACTTTGTTAAACGTTAATTTCCCATATTTTCCTTGCCTTTTTACTTTTCTCGATGAATGAATGGATAAAATCAAAAGCACATGTTAGGCGTTGGTCCAGTGATGCCTACAAAAAGATTATATTGATGAAGCCCTCCAAATTCTCTTCATTATGTTCTGAAGTAATAATGAAATTGGAATAGTTTTCCGTTCACACAGTTAACATATAAAAGTAATGCCTAGGTAATTATTTTTAAAGTTCTAAAGAAAGATTGAAGTACAACCATCTCCACAAGCAGTTTTTTTCACTTATTTCAGACTGCTACAATCAAGTCTAACATTGTGTGAAGTGATCAAAGCATTTATTACATGAGGGATGAAGTAAGGATTAAGTAGTGGAAGAATATATCCATGTAACAAATAGCCGTGACGTGCGCATAATTAACTGAATGCATCGGAAAGATTAAGTTATCGTCCATCGGAAAAATGAAGAAGACTGATTGTTCATATAAATTTGTTGTGTTTTTGGAAAAACAAATTGTTGTGTTTTTGGTTTTTGGGAACAGTCGAAGCGTTGTTGTGTTTTTGGAAACAGTCGAAGCGAACTTTGACTGCAAGTAATAAACCGAATTGACTGGCTGATAGAGTGAACAGGTGAAAATACACATTGCGATAATTTTAATATATGTGAAAGAAAAGAAGATGCTGATGGGTGTGGGAGTATAACTAAGTATATTCAACAAAATTCTATGCACTTACCGATTCTGAATGTGGATAGTTCAGGTGGATGGTGGAACAGAAATCATGGAGAACCTTTCCTGTTTTCATCCGTGTTCCTGAGGAACGCTGCCACGTATAAAGCAATCTCGAAACACCTAGCAGTATAATTTCGATAATTTCTTGGATTTTTTCTTTGGACTCCATTTTGTCAATAATTGTTCCTTTGGCCATTTTTACCTTTGTCATACTCCATCGTTCTAATAATAATAAGGAAGATATAGCTTCTTCATGTTAAAGCGAAGAGTCATTTGTGATCACTAAAAAGCTGTGTGAAGAACAGAGCGGACGTTTGCATCACCATCAACCTGACAACACTGAAGGATTCGATGAAATAGATAAAAGATATAGGCTCAAATCTAAAGAGTCCTTGACATTTGAGGAGTAATGGATAAATCTGTAGTTATATAAAATCATCACTCAGTCAATCAACCACTTGAAACACCCAGCCAGCCAGTCTAAATGCATTTCGCCATTAATATTTCCTGTGACTTAGTGCGCCAACTTTCTACTTGCTCCCTTCTTTTTGTTTTTTCCTGCAGCAAAAAAGTAAAGGCACTCTGGTCCGCTGAGCATGAAGGAACGAACGAACAGAACAGTAAAACGTAAAGCATGTCCGTCACTTTATCCGTTATTCACTGTTGTATTAGTAATTTGATCCATTATTTACACTTATATATTTATCACAACCAGGATACTGCTGTTATTGTCGTTTAAGAGTGAAAGAAGGGATAAATAACGAAACAAATAAGGATGTAAAAGAGACAACAAAGACCTACAAACCCACTTTCATCATATCTTAATGTCGTCAAATTATGAAGTGACATGCGACACCCTATTATTAAATTTAATGTCCTTCCTGTTCTATTTACAATATAGGCTCTACCTTTTGGGGACGGAGTTCGAACTTATTACACACTCTACGGAATATTTTTTGAGCAGTCTGAAACAGCCTCTAAGATCTTTCCTACTGAATAAACAGTTGCGCAGTTTGCATGTCAGAATAATCTGAGTATGGGTGACGCGGAGTGAATCAACAACAATAAGACGTAACGTTAAATAATCTCCACACATTTAACCAAGTTTGGAGATCTCCAATTCATTGGAGAGCAGCATGGCTTGTCCAGTCTATAGTGCAACGTGTCACATTCAAGAACTTACCATGCTACTGTTTAAGTTTCCTTCACTACATTAGATGAACTGTCCGAACCAAAAATATCAGATTAAGCCGTGCAAAAACTGCAAAGCACCGACATTTAAAGTTATATTTCACAAACAACAAGAACGCTAAAAAAATTAAGAATATTATACTAGCGCACATGAAAAATAAACTACAGATACAACTATCACCACCCATCACTGTAGTTTAAAATCAGCAGTTGCTGTTCTTATGATTGCAAACAAGCATTTTAAATTGTTGGAATTGCAGTTCGCTATGACGAACTTATTGAATTCGAATGTTTCCGGAAAATATCACCAAATTCTTCTCTTTTAGAATTCAGATATATATAAGAACAGCAGCAGCAGTAGTAGTAGGAGTAGGAAAGATATCGCATAATCATAGGGGTTGCACATCGAGGTAAGGATACATAGAAATGCGGGGATAACATAATGGTAATGCTGGTAGCAGTCCATTCAAATACGGATCAAATGGAGGATATGGATGAACAGGAGAGCTAACCAGTGAAGAGTTACTGGATGAAAATGACAATTTAGAACCAAAATCCAAGCATGAAGTGTTGTCAGAAAATGTCAGTGAAGAGGAAGAAGAGGCAGATGATGACAGTACAGCACAATCGTTATCGTCAACTGCTGAGATTGTACTCGCAGTTTCAGAACGAGATTCTTGTGTTAGGGTCTTTTCAGGGTGTAAACCTTGAAACATAAGTTGCAAAGCCAAGTGACGTTCTTCTAGCTGCTTCCTTCGCTCTTCCGCACCTTTTACAAGTTTATCCAGTTCCTGAAAATAATCGAGAAGAAGATTCACTGTCGCATATCATATCATTTGGTAAACAATCTCACTGAGTTAACGCAATGATCAATCAAACACAAACATGTATTGAACAGGCGTTCTCCATTTCGCTACCAAATCCAATGGATTTATGAGCAAAATCACACGATATCTAGTACACCACCTCCTACACCTACCTCAGTCACATGTAAGGAACTGCAGAAGCACCACTGAAGTACTACTGGGCAGTTACGTGATATGTCCAACAGGATAGTGCTTACCGGCATATGTTTGTAGTATTGTAACCCGCGTGCAATGCCATCTTCCAAATACTACCATCAAAACTTAACAAGCTACGACGCCTTCTCTCTGCAGTTAATGCTTATGCACATAAATCTTTATTTCTAGAAAACATTATGCCACTTCTGCCTTACCAAAATAAAATTTTACTAACTAACTCATCATGAGCAAGGATTTATGACTGCTGAAAGAACAATGATTAAAAAAAATAAGAGAATAATAACCAGTACCAATTATGATAATAGTGATAAATAAAAACGATAACACAATAAGCTTGAAATGATAATAAATATGTAGTGTAATAGATAATAGCAACAATAATGAATAATGGTTAATAATAATTATTACTACCGTTAATAATTTAATAATAATAGTAATAGTAATAATAATAATAATAATAATAATAATAATAATAATAATAATAATAATAATAACAATAATAATAATAATAATAATAATAGTAATAGTAACAATAATAATAAATAATAACAGTAAATAATAATAATAATAATAATAAATAGAAATAAATAAATAATAATAGATTCTAAGAATGTTTTCTGGTGATTCGGAGAAAATAAGGAGAAAGGGAGAAGCTACAAGAAAGCAAAGTAACCAGCAGAGTGAAGCACGAGAGGGAAATGATATCTCTGAAGCAGTGATTTGGAAGAACGAACCATGCTTCAAAAATAGCCTTATTTTTTCATCTAAAGAAATTGCCACAATCATTATTTTATATTGTTCAACAATGAGAGGGGAACAAGGAACTGACCAAAATATAATCTCTAGCACGAGTTAATAAAGAGAGGGTTGTATTGCGGGCATTGTCGGAACTTGAAGGAACGATATCCTTCAAGTTATCCAAATATCCACGAAGATTAGCACGACGTGTCTTTTCCAGTTCATTGTGAGCGGCTCTGCAATGCAAATGCAATGAAGTGTGCTGAATACACGTTCTTCATCAACTATTTCATTCTGAATATCGAGGAACTGATGTATTTTCTTACAAGTGTAATATCAGATTAGATCTGTCACTAAAAAAAATTGCTTTACGAAGCTGCACAACTAATATAGAGCCTTCTTTATTAAAGGGGCAGTACTATATGCAAATGTGGAATCGAACTATTAATCTTGGAGAAATCACAGACATAAATGATTTAATAACTAGAACTGAAAGTTCCTGCCCACCGATCGTTTCTTGTGCATGGCTTTACCGTGCACAGCTGTACCATCGTAGAATTGCACGCATGTGGTTAGTTTCCTAATCGCATGCTACTGATGTATAACCTGTTACACAGGTTATACATCAGAAATGATGGTACAATGCACTAATTGCATCATACTTAAATTTCGGCGTTTATCCGCAAATGTAATAATAATGAAACTTTCGCCAATCGTCAAACCCATTCAGTCTAATCCAACTATTACGGAACCATTATTTGCAGATGCTTAGCATACAGTATATTATATTGTCAAAATCTTTGCAAATGATAACATCAAATAACTTTTATATCATTCCCCACGTTATCCATTCTTTGATTCTGACTGTTCATCATTTTTAAACTTATTTCAGCTTAGAAGGTGCGAAAAGCTCAGTAGTGATCAGGGCTACTGATCTCTGAACAAAACCAATCAGAGAATTCGGCAGACCTTCATACTTTTTTGGGTAACTTCTGCATCATAAGTTTGTTCCTTTGCAAGTGCTTTACACATAGTTACTAATTAGCTAACTTTCTAGGCAACTAGATATAAACAAACTTCGATTTCTTTGGATTAGAATACGATTAATAGAATACGACTAACAAGTTTTGAAAAAGTCCGGCATACGGATATACTGCTGAACTGAATTATTTTCCGGGGTAAATAAATTCCGTACCATTCTACAATAGGCTGAGTAAGCAAGAATTATAAACAAAAAAAGTTAGGAGTAAATTAAGTAAACGATAAGTCGGAAGAAGCTACGCAATTATTCCTGAAATCGAAATCAAGAAATCTCTTCAAGTGACAGTGAGACTTTAAGACTCCATTTAGCTACCAATAGAACTTCTGAGAGCGAGTAGTGAATCAATCAACTTCATAGTAGCTTAATTATCATGTACAAGTTCCTCAAATGTGTATGTGTATGCATATGATGTATACATGCATGTATGTATGAAAGTAATGTGGTAGGTTTTGCAGAGAACGAAGGGAGGACCGGTTTGCACACGTGCTATCAGCAGCAATGTGTGTGCAACAAAACACGTGCAGTGTAGCTGAAAGGACCGGATAAGAAATTGTAAACTTAAAAAGAATTGTGAAGTGTGCAGTCAACTGACTTATATTTGTGTTGTTTTGCAGATTTCAGACAACAGAAAATAAAGGTTGTATTTTTCAGTGGGATGTGAAAGGAAGTAAATTTTGTCTCAGCTTGTCACAGTAATATCGGGTTTGTCTTTCGACAAATCAGAAAAGAGTGAAATATTGAATGGATGCAGGCCATTTTGAGTTACCAAATTACACATTCTTGCTAGAATTGTCTCTTCAGGAAGCAATATTTTAAAGAAATATGCAGTAGATCTAGCGTCATTTTCTCAAACACACAGTTTTGCAATGATATGACGCCAACAGGAAAAGTATTACATATGAATGCAGGTCATCGCATGCAGTTAAATGTGCGTATTGTGTCTTCCAGTGCTGTATGTCCTTCTCAACATGGTAAAACTAACCTGCTGTGACGTGCATTGTTTACAGAAGGATATGGCCGATGTCTTTTGCTATATTCTGGTGGAGGTGTTTGGAAATGTCGTGGTGATGGGATTGATGAGCTCCGATCCGACATACATCCCAACGATGACGTGGACGCAATGGAACATGTCGTACTTTGTCCTAACACACCTTTAGTTACGAATGAATCGCCGCTGCTTTCGTCGCTAACTAGAAACGAAAAGGCTGTTGTTTAACTAGAAACCATCTCAAATTTAACCAAAACAGTGGAATTCTAACCGTAACATGTCTCGTCCTTCAGCATAACTCTTCTAAACTTTTTTTGGAATATAATGGTGAAAAAGGGTATGACATACTGAGGCAAGTATCCGGAACATTCCGTGCTTTCTCGATGTACTGCGCGGCGGATATAAGCTGTGAGAAGCAGAAAGGCGAATGTCTTCGATCCATAAAAAGAAATCACCCGAAGCTATAATAGAGTATCATCCATTATTAATGACGAGGATGATGGACTATTCATCCATGAATCATCATATCAATGTCTAACCAATAAGCTACAAGAGGAGAACGTCACTCGAGATTTCGAGGACGGATGAACAACAGCTATGCTCGCTATCTTATCGCACCGAGTAACTTGACACAGCCAACCAACTGCGTCTTCCGTACGTTCCCTGAGATGACTTTATTTACAAACTGTCAGTCAGCTGGCTTTTAATGTCCTCCTGACTGCCCAATTAAGGTTGGTGGATGGTGAGATACACACTTATACACACACACATACATATGGGAGTGGAGTAGAACGTGGTGGGTAGATAGGCTGTGCTTCTCGTGCCTCCCACGCCTACTGCATCTACAACTGCAATGGCGCTAGCAGCGCTGCTAGCAGACTGTTCGAGGCTGGTAGTCTTTCACACCTATATGAAGAAAGGTGGTAAAAGCGGGTAGTTCTTATATGCAGGCATAACAGGACGCTCCGGGTAGTGAATTGTTGTTTGACTCACTGCTGACTGTTTGGAGAGCATAGCAAGTGCTGCTCAAGTTTACACGCCTTTTTACATTTCAGTAGACCCGGACGATGACCCTATGTATGTGTGTGTATGTGTGTCTGTCCCTCTGCTCGTCTGTTTATGTGTGTATATGTATATATGCAGGCATGTATGTATATGTGTACGTATGTTGTTGTGGCACAAGTTGAGTAACCACTGCTGGTTCCAATCACTACCCCTACTTATCACTTTAATATAATCGCTATTTGTAGGGAAAGCTTGAACCTGCACTGGTTGCAAAAGGAGTGGAAAATGATTTTTGTGATAATAATAGTTTCAATATAATAATTAATAGTAATATAATAATAATTAATAATAATAATAATTAATGATAATAATAATAATTAATAATAATAGTAATAATGATAATAATAACAGTAATTAATAATAATGATAAATAATAATGAATAATAATAATTATTATTAATAATAACAATGGCGAGGAGATAATGATAAGGGTTTGGAGTGATAGCGAGGGATATGCTCACTGCACTGATATCTGAATGTGCAAATGGTTAAGCTATGCATGTTATCGGTAGGCTTTTGAGTTAACCGAAAGGGGCGGGTAGATGCGTGATAAATGACATTGATCATTAGAGGGAAGTGGGTGCTAAGCTCTTCAGCTTAATGGAAGTTGTTGCTGGTTGTTTCAAAATAAACTTACGTAAGGCCAGTCAGACACGTACGTTATGACAGTGGAAGAATGTAAATGTCGTCAGTAATTTGTGGAACTAGTTGAAAATATCGAAAAAAAAAGTAGGAAAATAAGAAAATATGCGATGAGTGGAGTTGATGAGAACAGCTATAACTAGGTGGAAGGGAGTGTGGGAAGTACCTCTTCCAGCAGCCATGCACTTCGTCTGTTATAAATGTGAAAGTGTGCGCATTGTCATTTCTACCGCAATCGCTGAAGTTTCTGAGGTGATGCTGAAGAAAAGTTAATAGAATGATTCTAACTTATTTAATGATGAATGTGGACTAAATGACATGTGCCAGTTCGAATATTTAACTCAGTTCACTATCTTCGATGCACATGTCACTACTTCCTCGTTGTTGAAGCCACGTGGATTGTAATATTGTAGTTTTAGTTTCCAGAGTGTGACGTTTTTTAACATACAGTTAGCATGTAGCCAAAACTGAAGTAAGTGAACCTTTAACCCTAGCAGACAACAGTTCTATCCCATCATCCATTGGTAAATTGTCATTTATTACGATTCTGCTGTCTACCTACGCCTTAGTAAATAAAGTTGTAAGGTTATTGACTAAGAACAACATTGCAAAACATGCACATTTCTCGCGAGTGCACGAATTGCTTAATCAATTAATAGTTTGCAAGGGAAATTTTGGAGAGCGTGTATGTATGTGTATGAGAGAGTAAGAGAGAGAAAGCTTTGGAGTCAAAAAGACGGAAGTCATCAGTGGACCAGAGAGGAGTTTTGAAGCGAAAACTTGGGCTAAAACTCGCGTATTTCCAGCGATAGGAATTACAGCAAAAGGTTGCTTCTTTCATTCGTATCAGTTGTAACGTTAACCTGACAGGTGTTGTTACACCTTGATGGGACGAGACCTCGATAAAATAAAAATGACGATCACTTGCAAAATGGGGACACTGTAACAGAATGACATTGCACGTCTGCATCCGTCAGTTTCACAGCTTCCCGAACATACTTATAATGGCACAAGTATAAATAATATTATCAAAATCGACCTATGTTTTCTCCTTTTGGATCTCCAGTCGCCATTTGCAGTGCAAGTGCAGTTGTTGTTTCCATATTCACAGTTTAGGTAAGCACGGGAATCTTAGATTAGTTTTAAAAGTTGATAGGTTGCTGGAGACCTGTTAGGGTAGTAATGAATTGGCGACCACTGCCTTTACGGGAAAGTTACTTATAAGCCTTTTGTATGTTCAACCGATTTCCTTTCTACATACATTCGCTCTACAGGTGTGACAAGGTAATTGATTGAATCATGTACTCATTTTCTATCTGATATTGCCAGTGTTACTTCTTGAGAAATGATACCCTTTGTTGCGACACTAGGCGTGACGTGATATTCTACATTTGTGTTTACGGATTTCTTCCAAAAAATAAAAATAAAAATGGTTAAAAAATAAAAATAAAAATAAAAATGCTTAGTCAATATTTCCGAAATTCTAGAAAATTGCGGTCAACGAAGTTAAACATGCAATTGGAACTTGAAGATCCACCGACTCGACCTATTTTAAAAGTGTGATTGGAAAATGCAAGGGCACCTTAAACTATTGTTCAAAAGTGATCTCGCACATAGGCAGTTTTCGGACATGAAAATGAAATCGGTGAGCACTGCAAAACAAGAGGACAGCAGAAATGTGATGCGGCAGTGGTTTTGAAATAAGGCATCAAAGATTGCGCCCATTCATTCCCAAAAATACGAACGACCATCGATGACTTTGATAGATGATGTCTTGTTCCTGTGTCTTAGTGACACACACACACATATATATATATATATGTATATATATATTTAGAGAGAGAGAGAGAGGAGTAGATAGACCGATAGATGGACAGATATATGTAGCACGGAATTCGAAGAGATTTAAACGCGAAGTGAACAGCAAGCATTCTTGAATCAGAAGAAGTAATTTGGTAACATTTGACTATGGGAAGCTCTCTTTCGCCTCTTACTTGGCATCTTTGACTTGGCCTGAAGCTTTAAACTGACTATCTGACCCGTTTGGCTTACACTATTACTCCTTCTGGACTTGTGCCACCGATGAGCCAATGTTCCTTTTTTCGGTAGGAAATGGCAAGTTTCTTCACATCACAAAAGCATCACTGATAAGATTGCTCAGCTTTCTTCTCCTCTCTTATACTTCCACCAACTCTCCTTACTACGACGATGAAATCGACTGAAGGATACATGTCCTCCGAGTATTTTCTAATATGTGAATGGCTTAAGTGTAGCGTCCCCACATCCCAACATCCATGGTCTCAGAAGAGATTAGCTGTGAAAGGTATAGCGAAAGCAGAAATTCTTCAAAACCTTCCTGAATAGCTGCGAAGCACAGATTTACTGTTTCGAATCAAGGTTAGCAATGGAGCTCTAAACTGCCTAACACTTTTTGAATTGTGATTGAACAGTAGTTATGCAGAAGAGAAATCATTATGCATTTGTAAAAAGGAATAAGAGAGATACTGAGAATTACTGCTGGGGCATTTGCAATTTCTAACTAATATGGTTAGATTATTTGTCGTGGCGCAATTGTAACAGTGCCTCTTTTAACAACATAAAGTGGTCAATGGCTGGCAATGAATGGCCTCAAATTATAACTTTTTTCAAACTATAAGCAATGAGTAAGCTAAGAGTTAGTCACTTATTGATAGGACAGCTAATTGTTTGGTGCGCTGCTGCGGTACTGTTTACATGTAATTCTTCCCTCGTTGACAAGTTACTGTATTGCATGGGCAAGGAGGGAAGAATCGAGAGGAAATGGAATTAAACAGGTTTCCGGAATGCACGTGAAATGCATTTCAGCCATCAGTTGTTTCATCAATTGTTTCCTTTTTTCCTCTCAGTTTTTGATTTTTTTTTTCTTTCCCATTGACTGATTCTCTACCATGAGCTAACTGGTCGAGAATCTATCATACGGGTCACTAACTGGCTGAATGGCAACCGATCGGCTTATTGTTTATGAGTTTTTATAACAATTCTTTGGTGATCTTTCTGCCTTTCTGGTCATCTCATAGTTTATTTCAACGAGAACTCTCAGAAAGGGGAATTTTTACTTTGCATCTTTCTTTCTCAGGGCGTAGGAGAAGGCATCTTTATATACAAATACTACAAAAAAAATGGAGTTCAAAGGAAAGTTGGAAGGTTTTCGATTTTCCGGACTGATGCTGTTACTGTTTGCTTCACTCAACATTGTATTTTGTTGCACAACAGTACCAAAAGATGAAGTGAAGTCAACATTTCCGTGCTTAAACTTACGTCAAAGATTGGGTAGAAAAGTACAGGAATTAAAAGGACAGCTGTTTTGTTGCCAGTATCCGTAACACCTATGAAATCAGAAAAAAACATTACGTGAATTTTGATGAAAATGGTGTTAAAGAAGAAAAGGAACGAGATGATGTTTATCCAATGCTACTTACCATTAAAATTCGCAATAAGCATACAACTGATTGTTATGTCATTTCTCGAGTAGTGAGAAGATGTGTGTGGTACGAGTTTAATATAAACTGAAGCTTATCGCAAACGTGTCATTTGTCAATTGATGATAAATTCAGTAAGCTGAAAATGATGTGCGTGATGTATTGACTTGTTTTTATAAAGTATTCAAATCCATCTATGTTCCACAATTGCAAGGGCAGCGAGATTCTCTCCCCCTCTGAAAAATTAAGTATCAAAATTTACCTATTCCTATCAATA